GGCTGGTACCAGGACCACTACCTCCCGCAAACTGACAAACCCGTAAAGAGAGAAGAAGAGTAAAGCAGTTCAATGGAAAAAGCAAGATGGCCAAAACAAGGGGTTAGAACAGAAGTGTGAAAAGTTATGCAACCTAATACTGTAGCATTTTTAGAGGACATGAGCTCGACCTGATACACACACACACAATACAGATTGAAAGAACAATTTTCTGCTACTCACCTCAAAATAATCACTAATTTTATGCCCCCTTGCTCCTGCTTTGCCTGAAAGAGAGAGGCAGGGAGTTCAGAGAGAGGCCAATATTAGAGATACGCGATGAGAAGATCATAGCAGAGGAACAATCCTACCTTGGCTGCTATCAAACTGGTCTGCTTTCCGTTTTCTCACTCTCTGGTCATTTGCCTTTTTCTCAGGAGTCTGTGAGGAAAGCAGAGTGCATCAAACAAGTGTACAATAAGGTAACACAAAGAGATAGCTGGCATTACAGAAATCAAATCCAAATTTAAAGGTATATTGTCATATGGACAGGAAACAATCTTACACAAAACAATAAAATTCTTACTTTGCGAATCCAACTTCTGACATAATTTAAACAAGACATAAGCTGTTAATATGTGATAGAGACTAACCTCTAACTCTTTGTCACTGAGTGAGCCCACACTGCACAGGCTCTGATTGGATGACTCATTTTGACTCTGACCTGAGCCCTGTTAAAATAGGGTAAAAACATACATACAAATAAAGAACAAGGAATAGTTAAATACCAAGATGAAAGAGGTAGGTGCATAAAAGTCCTATCTTTGAAATGTGTGCACAAGTACTTGTTGTGTATTCATTCACAGACAGAATTGAAAATGGGGGACACACAGAGGGAAGTGAGCCAAAGGTTTGCCTAAATACCGTCACCATTAGATTCCCACTGAATCTAGACCTGCATCAGTCCTAATGCTGGTTCCCTAGGTGATGCCTGTCAGTCAAATGAATCACATCAGAATTCAGCAGGCACTGTCCAATCAGGGAGAGATACTTAGTCATTCAATGCACACCAGAGCTCTCACTGAACCCTCCTAAAATGGCTGAACATTAGGCATGCTGCCGGGGATGTATTCCTCTCTGTCACCTTTAGATAATGTCATCCATTTTTCTCCTGTTCACCATGGTCTTAACTATTCTTTTCTCCTCTCTGAAAAAAGCCAATGAAAGGTGCTCTGCTTGATCTAAGAATGACTTGTTTTTGCCTTCACTCCCCCCCCCAGAAAAAAATATGATTGTTTAATCAGACTTCTTCAAAAGAAAAAGCACTTGTGAACAATTTTTGTGAGCCCTCTCTGTTCCATTATCAAATGGTGTGCTAGCTCTTTGTCCTCAAAGGATAACAATTTTCCTTTCTTTTATGCCAACTCAGTGATGACAGAGAGAGCAGCAGTGCCACAGGGCTGTTCAAGGTCAAGAAAAAAAGTCTAAGCTGCTCTATGACATTGACAGGCTTTTAGACCACCAACCCATATTTCTTCACAGCCATTTGTTGAGATACTTCTCTTTCAACGCCCTCACACATACACACATTACATCTCTTGTCATACAGGGTGCCTGTGGTGCCATGCTTTGGGATCAGCTCTGCCTATGGCTGGCACAAAGCCCACTCCTGGTGCAGACTCTTGCTCCCTTACTATTCCGAGATCACCTTCCATGAAGCCAGCGTCATCCATGTAGCAAGCAAGAGGGTGGAAAGCTAAATGCTGCCTCTACTCACACCTGGTCAAGAACTATTTCTGCATTCCTCCTCTGCCTTCAGTTCTCCTCCCCCTACCACCCCTGTCCCGTCTGTGGCCTTTTTGGCAGACATCACCACTTGCATATACAGCCACTACATCATGAGCCAGGGAGAGATGCCATATCATACCAGCCAAAAAACACAGACACAGCTCAACCTTCTCCAGAGACAGACAAAGAAAAGGAGCAGGGCCAAGCTTGTCCAGGCCAAACAGTAGAATGACAGAGAGGCAGAGTGAGACAAAGAAAGGCAGAGATTCACAAAAATGTGTAATCAAGAAAGTCTGTGATTGTAAGCACTTTGACAGGAGAGAGCTCCCATGCTCCACCTCCGCGACATCTACTGTACACAAACCTTAGCTACGCCAACCCCAGTGAAGCGAGCCTCCAACAGCTCCTGCCGTCGGGGGTCCAGGCTATGCAGTTCTTCCATCATGGCTGCAGAGACAAGAGCACAGATTAAGGAAGGCGTTGTTAGGTCTGGTATATTGAAATGGGAGTGACGGAGCACTGCTTCAAAAGGCAGTGATGGTTGTGATGAGTCATGGCTGTTTTTAGCTATATGGATGTGGAAGATTTCTGATCTGAGTCATCAATAAGCCTGACAATAATGTTTTCCACAATCATGTGGGTTCAGCAAGCACATGCCATGAAACTTGACTACCCAGTACAATACTCATTGCAACAAACTACACATTTTGGCCATAAATATTACCAATGACACATATTTAATATGCATCAAAGATGTACGCCAGATGTGTAGAGTCACTGCCTGGAAAATTTTAGCATCATGTGATAACGCCCTGGCATTATGGGCCTAAGTTACATGGCGCTGGAGTTATGAAAGGTCACTAATGGAGGGACTGCCAAGTATCACAGCAATTGAAAAGGCCACAATAGACAATACGTGCCCAGCTTGCTAGCTTGTGCAAAGGTTAACGTTTAAGTTGCACGCCCAACACTGACTGCTATGTCTGTCTGTTATCTGTGGCTTGCATATGTTATATTAACAATGTAACATCCAACATTCATGTCCATTTAGAGGTACACTATATTCTTTATTTTTTTAAGTTAGGTCTTAAATCGAAATTGGGTTTGCTCGCTGAGCTAACGTTATAACGATTTGAAACATCAGTGAATGGTAAGCGAGGAAGCTGGGTAACACTGAATGCACAAAGCTAACAAGACATCACTTAGCACTGCGTTCTACGAGCTAATGGTTTACGCTTGCTAGTAACATTAGATCTGATTTCGTCAAGTAACGTGCACAAACCAGGCACATGTAGATTAATGTTAGTCCAATCTTCATTGTGTGATTGGATACCGACTCAGAAAAAACCACGAGAACTACTGTCCACAACAATAAATTATTTTACAAAAACATATACGATAGCTAACGTTTGGTAGCAAACATGCTAGCATTAACTCGTCTGTCAAAAAGAAGCATCTCCTCAATTCTGTGTTGTCAGAAGCTCATGCCCCAACGCAAGAACTTATTGTAACAAGAGACCTGTCTAAATATATTCTTTTGTATGACAACCTAACGAAATACTTACTGTACTTAATATTTTCTCGGTCCTTCGAAGGGCCTGCTGTTAACCCTGAAACCGTCCCCGTTGTTTCCCTGGTGCTTGGCAGACCCTCCCAGGCTAGGCCGCATCCACAGCCACGTCCCTCGCGTGCTGATTGTTAACAATCAAGACACGGGAGCGCGCGGTATAGTTCAAGGTAGACGACGGAGGATTCCCACGGAGGCCTCGACAACTCCGGGTATCCCAAACCCACCTTTTTGTACTCTTTAGGCGGGGATCCCCATCACATCCCTCTCCCCGAGGACCATACCGTGCCTACGTCGGATATCTTCCTTCCACACAATGGCGACTCTCGAGATTCTGCGGTTTTCCGCAGGTATAAAAGATGCCTTTAAGCTAGCGTTAGTTACCCCCTATCTTTTTCTCCCCCGGTGGTGAGATGAATTTCGGGTCTTGGCTTTCAGCTCGATCAAAACAAAGTTCGGCTCCAGTCGCGTTCCTCGCCACAGGGGATAAACCAATATGTTTCGGAAGTTGCAAGCCGTTTCGGAAGTTGCAAGCCGTTTCAGCCGAATTCGGATCGATTCGGTTCGGTTCTGATCTTTTTGCAATGTAAACAATAATCAGTAAAATCTCATATTTTCTCGTGAGATTGTTAACGCAATTTAACCTTCGTTAGGTCCACGCCTGCCCCAAATCTCGTCAGGGCCAATGGTAAATCCCACTGTACACAATACAATTTAACAGTGCCCACCCACACAACCACCAAAATGATCACTTATCAAAAAGTTGCCACTGCCATAATGTTCACACCCACATGCTGTACTTACACAACATTAGTAAACTGCTAAATTAATTCCTCTTTTTAAAAATAACCAATTCAAATATAAATAGGGCTTTAACCATTTAAGATACTGTGATGGAAAGCAAAGTCGTATTAGGACCAATATCACTAAATGAATATCATTTGTCAAACAAAACACTTCTGAATGCAGATTGGAAATACCAAGTACTCAACAGATTACAGTTTGGACTTTTATTAATTGTGCATGTACAAAAAGGCCATTAAGTGTTCTTAAAAATCAGGCAGTTTATGTAAAAACATCAGCTCATTAAAACCATTATCAGGCAGAATAGAAAGATGTACACGGGGTAACCAGCCCTTTCTCAGGTAACTGAACTCATCAGCACAAAATAAGAAATCATCACTCTTGTAGCTAGGATTGCAGCACCATAAGGAATACAATCCATAAAATCAGTCCATCAATATTAAAGCAGCTGAGATAGTGCAAGGTCTTTATAGCATTTAACTATCCAGTTGCGTTCCCTTTAACACATTAAAGTAAAGTGTCTCATTTTGATAGTTAAGCCCTGCCCTGATTTTAGCTCCTGGTTTCAGTTGTGGTTGAATATCAAGCCAGGTTGGTTCTTTCCTCTGTCTCAGTCCTGCGTGTCGGGTTTTTGAATTGGAGCCTTGCGGTACTTGCACTGGATCCACACCCTGTACATGGTAAGCTGTTTTCCTCTGTTTACTTGCAGCCTTCTGTCCACAAGGTTCTGAACTTTCTCAAGCCCTGCCTCAGTGAACAGGTCATGAAGTTCATCTGAAATAAAAAGAAGCTCAGAAATATTTTATATATACTGTACATTAAAGAACAACTGTGCAAAATAATCTCAATAAATCTTTAATAAGATGTCCTTATTGTTATACCTTGGATAAAGAAATATACTCGCGTTCCATCACCTCGGACATAAAAGTTTTCTGACAGGCACCTTCCTAAAAGAAATGGAAGGGCAGAATGTACTGATTATTCTTCAACAGAATGCAAACATTACATAAACACAATAATTAATGCAGTGCCATTCTAACTTACAGTGGGCAATTAGGAGTATTGCATATGGACCCCAAGTTTGACAGGTAGTATGCAGCCAGACTTACTTGTTTACATGCATTAAGTGTTGTCCATAAAATTCTTCAGCATATTTAAGAACAGCACACTTTCTCATTTAAAATGTCCAAACAAAGCTGTTTTGGTGTGACCTAATGTACCACTCAGTTCTAAAATAGTGCTACCAAAAAAGCACACCCAAGTGAATCACATTTCAAGGTTCAGAATTAGTAATAATAGCACTAGTTATGAATAATAGACCTTTTTGAATATGGAGGGTCTGAACAGCTTTTTGGCTGGTGCATCTCAGCCCAACTAACCTTTCTTGAAACGGAGCTGTGCCATATCGTGGCGTCCATAGTCCCTGAGCAGAATCACTCCCCCAGGCTTCAACAAGCGTGCCAGTCTACTAATTGATGCCTTCATCCTGGGATAGAGGTGAAACTTTGATACAACCACTGCGATATTTACAGTAATGACTCACAATCAGTGAAAACAAAACCAAAAAGAAGATGGAAGGTAGAGAAAGAAGTTCATACTTGTTGGGATGCAATGCTGATAGCACAAAGATTAGTACAATAACATCAAGAGTTCCATCAGGGATGGGGTAACTGGCTTCCACATCACTCAAGTCGTGAACAAAGGCGAAGCAGCGCTCAGGGTTGTAGTCGGGATTAGTCTGATGACAAGAAGGCAGTTTGGATTCATTAGTTAGCCCACAACTCTAGAGATGAGTACCTATCAACACATCATCCTTCCATTATCCCAATCATCTTACCTTGACTAACTCCACAGCAGTGCTGGAAAAATCACAGCAGTACACAAATAGTCCTGGGTCACTGCAAAAAGCAAGGATGCAGTTATAGTTTTCATTGTATTTTATACTGTAAGACAAAAGAGGAGTCTTGAAACATGGTGTGAAACTTTAAAATGTCAGTGTCATGCTTGCACTTACTTGTTGGTCTTCAGTATTGGAAAAACTGTGTTCCCTACGCCACAGCCGACCTGTACAGAGTCCATCAATTCATAGATCATTTATTGCTTTAACTCCATTTTGCACTCACTGACAAACAATAATGTATATAGTAGCTATTTTTTTCCCCAAGAGAATGAATCATCAAAAGAAACAGATTACTGCAGTTACTAGAAAACTTATACCTCTAACAAGGTCACACAATACTCAAAATTTTATTTAAATTGACTTGCTTCTAAGCACAACCCAAACAGATCAACACAAAATGTTTTAGCCATCTGTTTCGTGTCAATGCGACCACTGATCCTTCAGTGAGACCATAAAGACCAAATGACTGAACATATTTTGCTTTGTACTCTTTAAATGTTTAAAGGTAATATATTTTCTGCAACCAGTTAATTTTCTTCTAGAAATGTTTCATCTGCATCAAAATATACACATTCAAGTTAGAGCAACAGTCCATTAGAAATTATACAAATTTAGGAAAATTCTTTAATAAAAGGCTTTTTCACAACAATGTTAACTTTGTACCAGTTTCACTAGAATCTGCTAAGTTTAGGTGATAAAACAACTTCCTTGTCAGAAGTAAACACAACAGCATGTATTGAGAGATTTTGCTTGATTATTAAATGTGCACGGTGAAAGATTAGTTAACTTGCTTTCAAACAAATCTCTCACCTCCAGAACTCGATATGTGGCAGAGGAGCCAGGAAAGTCACCATCAGTATGAGGTGGCGCAGCAACTTCTGTGCTTTGTCTTTCACCCAGACTGTCCCACTGACCAACGTGGTTCAGGCGACACTGTGGGGCCAACTCTGGGAACTCTGTGAAGAGCCAGTGACGGTCTTTGAAGAAATGATTCTCATGGATTGCGTAAAAGTCATTCCAGTACTCGCTGGCCCGGGTGTCGTATTCCTCTGCAAGAAAAGTTAAGGCAGTGATGACAGTATTAAAATGATAATCTAACACATCTTGCTAAGTTTGTGAATCATCAGAAAAAGGCTTGGTGTAGCTTAATAAGAAAAATACCATCCATAACCAAATTTAAAACTGATCACTCTCATGATGGGAAAGTCATCTTTTATTTTTAACTGTTAAAATTAGCCAAAGCTTTATAAGCTTATTTGTGCAAACCACAATCATGAGATGGCCATTTTCTGTATCTTTTCACATACTGATCCCATACAACTTAAATGAAATTGAAATAAATACATATGCAACATTAGGTAATACTGTCATCTTGTTTAGAAGCAATAATCAGAAGGACAGTTCTGATATTGATCCTGAATTGCAGTCATATTGTGTGTTTCATGTGTATGAGCTGCGAGTCTGGACAACAACAACCTTGTTTCTCTGGAGGCAGTGGCTGACTGTTTTCTAAGACTTTCCTTTTAGCTGCTGCTTCTTGTTCCTCAGTCCATTCCACATTGTCCCTGTTGACAACATAGCACTATTATGTAGTGTGGGAGAGGTTGTGTGGTGAAAAAACACAAACACTTGACAACAGTGAGATGCTTAAAGGTTTTCATGTGACTTTAGTATAAGATTGGTGATACATTATATTGGCTATATTGTGATATAAGCAGATTTTCAAAGTATACAAACTTAAGATCATTAGACTGAAGTGCAAGAAAAATATAGGTTTTACATACAGTAGATTTTCTTTCACTTCACAATCAGTTCAGCATAAAACATCCACAGACTGATGGGTTAACTGACGGTAAACATTAGATACCCCAAACAGGTGTACATACAGGAAAACTGGTTAGTTTAAGGTAAGGCTGGGGTCTGGTTTAGCATCATAAGACACGACTGGTTGGTTCAGATGAGACAGACTTCAGAATCTACTCCTGAGTTTGGGGATCTAACGCTAACCCTTACTGAACTACTGTAAATAATACTATTCCAACCTGACCTAGTAACAGAGATACACACCAACAACCTTTTCCTTTTCTAAGTTACCGACCATGCGTTGTGTTGGAAGACGTGTCGCGGGTCTGTGAGAAATCGTGTCCCAAACTGAGGTCTCTTCACATCTCCGGTAGATGACCCTGACAGAATCAACCCTGTTTGACTGCTGCCTCCCTCCACTCCGACCACTGCATGGGACGCCGCCATGTTGGAACTGACGTGACGGAAGGAGGGCAGTGCTTTAAATTGTGATGCATTCAATGACTATTGTAAATATTGCAAGACCAATAGAAAACGTTGAACGCATATAAACAGTGGAGAGGATGGTATGAATGAATTGAATTAATAAAGTAATAAATTAAACATATACTCGCTGTTGTGCGAGGCACGTAAAGGAAATAATCTTATTTGTTCAGATATCAATGGATGAAAAAGGGGCATAATAATACCTAATCTGATAACTAGGGAGTTGTCTAGCCTGTACACTTTGAATCTAGATTGAGATGGTTTGGACATGTGCAGAGGAGGGATAGTGGTTATATTGGTAGAAGAATGTTGGAGATGGAGCTGCCAGGCAAGAGGTCAAGAGGAAGGCCAAAGAGGAGATATATGGATGTGCTAAAAGAGGACATGAAGTTAATTGGTGTGGGAGTAGAGGATGCTGAGGATAGAGTTAGGTAGAAACAGATGATTCGCTGTGGTGACCTCTAATGGGAACAGCCGAAAGAAGAAGAAATATGCTTTGAATCTAGGCATCTAGGCTACAGAACGGATGTGCTGCAGCATTTGATCAATGTAGTGTTTGTACACTAGAGGGAGACATAACACAGGATTATCTTTGATAAGACTAAGCGCTTTCATTGACCCATGTAATGTAGTTGAGGAGAATGCTGGGACTGAAATTGCACAGGTCACTGTACGCAGAGCTGATTTTATGCACTAACGTTTTTACCAACAAACAAACAAGAATATTTTTGCATTTGTGGATTGATTTTTGTGAGCTCCCACAGATTTTATCCGAAGACACCCTAACCTTTTTCTTGCACCATGGAAGTGTATGTAGCATGGAAGGCCTACAGCAAATATTGAATAACTTTATATCTAAAACACTTTGACAGGAACCAGTTATTAAAAGTTTACATGTGACTTTCATAATACATAGTGTTAAAGGTAATGTAGACACTATTTTATTTACATTCAGTGGAGGGAAAGAATATGTCAGATTATAGCTCTTGCATGCACTACAAGTGGAGCCATAAAATGTTATTTACTAGACTAAGAGCAATGATTATTTGACCTGGTTGTTGTGATGACTTTCTAGGCAGGAGGTAAACATGAAGACTGAGCTATCGGATTTATAAAGACCTCCTTTTGGTACCCCAGAGAGCGTCAGTAATCACTTAGAATAATAATGATGATGAGAAGATATTCTGCTGAAGACAACAGAAACTACATACCAACAGTCAAAAAGAGGCATTAAACATGTATGGTAACTGTACCAAAATCTGCATTGTCCATAAAACAATGATGCACATGTTTAGAAAATACAAGAATGTAGAAATACTTGATGTATGATAACCAGATAGGTTACCTGGTAATTTGTTGTAGTAAAACTTTCTGTAACTTAATAATGACTAATAGGCATTGTCTGGCTGGTGCAAACAGGATATGGTAACTCATATAGGGAAGTGTGAGGTTTAACATTGATGATAATGTTTATTTTACTGTCATACAGCTGCATCATACTGAAATAGCTTGAATTGTGCACTCTGCATTGCTGTTATTGCACTTCTGGTTAGATGCTAAACTGCATTTCATTACCTTGTACTTGTACATGGGTAATGACAATAAAGTTTAAATGAAATCACACATGGCATCAATGATATCTATTGGAATGCTAATCTAAATTGAATTTATTCACATCATTTGATTTGTCAAGTTAAACATCTCACAAAGTAAATGCAGAACTTTTTCAGACATTACAGACAACTTGATGCTTTGGATCTATAATATGAATCTCAAATAACTTGTCTTTTAGGTTTTTTTTTAATTCTGATCTTAATATAGGGTAAAAGCAGGGATCATTTGTTGCATGGAACCCAAATGTCTAGCATCACACAAGAGTAGGTGAAATCAGGTATAATTCAACTTAATGCATTTCATCAGTGTAAAAACTAGAGCGAAACCACAGACAGCTTTAAACAAGTGTGCAAACATACAAATAAAATAATACAACCAGCAGGCCATGCACTGTTAGATGGCACAACTGTAATACATTGCACATTGTTCTCTTATCTCCCATAGATGTTACAAAAAAGCAAAAGCAATTCTGTTATTAGTAATTACAAGGCATTATGGCCAATATCATTTGATGTGTAATAAAATCTGCTCATATACCCAAATAAAAGGTCATTTCATTTAGGGATGCGCAGTGATTTTCCAATATTTGAATCGTCATTAAATTTTAAAAAATTCAAATATTTCAGGCGACTCTTTTATAAAACAAAGGCCGTCCCTGGTAGGCTAGTGGTTAAGGCACAGCGCTCTCGCCACGGTGCCTCAGGGTTCCGTCAGGAAGGGCATCCGGCGTAAAACACATGCCAAATGTCAACATGCGAGTCATCAGTGTGACGATTCGCAGTGGTGACCCCTAAATGGGAAAAGCCGAAAGTGACTTTTTTGTATAAAACAAAGAGCCACCGTTTTCCCTTGCTTTTACCGGTGCCTGGAAAAAACACAATAACGAGCTTGCTGTTAATGTTACACAAAGCTCAAATTACTCCAAAATTTAAATTATATTAATTCAATACAAAGGTAAAATCATAACCATGCTAAGTTGCTGATGTTATCAAAACAATCTCATTAGTTTTAGATGCTAATGCATCCAGAAAGAATGCCACATCTGAATTAAATTTGAATCCTTTGGCTGCTTTTAACACTCTTTATCTTACCTTGCTTTTGCTCTTTCTTTATCCCACTCTCTGTATAAAAGAACGCAACCTCTTCAGTCTGGCAGCCACTGTTTCAGACTTTTAGCTGCCAGGAGCTTCTCTGTGGCTGGCTGTTTGGAATGACTATTCACAGTTGGAAAAATGCTTCTTATAACCTTGGCTAAATGGGAGGTGGAGCTAATTTACAGACTGCATTTTGACAACACAGTGTAGAGAAGCTGGAATAACAACAGAAGCACCGCATGCAACAGAGAGCCATGGAGGGGGTTGTATAGCTCAGACACCACTGTCCCATTTATCAGGCTGTGTACCTTCTTAGTTAGTGCACCTTTAAAATAGGCTGCAGCTGCACTTTTAGAGGAAATGAAAGCATATTTATTTAGGTATAAATAATACAACAAAACATGGTGGAAGACATGAAGAAGACCTCATTATGTTCACATATTTTATGACAACTTAATGATTCAAATTTCAATCTTAAAATGTGAGAAAAAATTAAAAGAAACACACAAAAATTTTTTTAAAAAAGATTGCAGTCGTAGAAAAGCATCCTAAGAAAACCACAAAAGTAACAGACCCTGACAGTATAGATGTTTGTTTGTGAACACATTTTTGATAGCATGTACAATACGTACTGTAGAGAGTGCTGTTGACATGACACAGTGTAAAAACATAAAGTTTAAGTGCAACCAGCCATCTGTGATGTGTATTAACAATTTTACTTATTTTTTTTACAGTATGTACAACTGTTACATCATGTTGTTGACAGTAGTAACTACAGTCAGTTTCAGCTACAGTAGCTGGTCATGTGACAGCATAAAGGATTTTCTTCCCACCCGTGTCTGTGCTACAAGATACAGTGCCCTTGTCCTTAGCCCCTGAGTTTTTTCGTTGCATTTAGCTGTTAGTTGCCTCGGTATGCTACGTTGGTGAAGGTGGAGGTGGCTCCTTTATACAAAGGATTGTTAGCCTGGAATATGAAAACAGAGGAAATTCCGTTTAATTAATTCTCACAATAATATCCAACATTTTGTATGTGTTTGCTCATTTGAGGGTCGCTGCAATATTCTGTTGGTGCACCTTTTTTTTGAAGGAGAGGTTTTTAGTATATGATGGTTTAATTTTAATTATAATATTTCTCACCGTATCCCATTTAGCTTTGGCTCTCTCCTCCTCAAACTTCTTGTACTCTCTGCGGTCGTGGATGGTGACCAGCAGCTTCCAGATGAGCAGGCCAACAAGGCCCAGAAGCAGAACGGCCCCGGCCACCGACATGAGCACCACTAAGATGTCTGGACCCTGAGGACACTCTAAGGAACAAGAAGAGGAAGGGGGCAGAGAGAGAAGGAGAGTTAGTTTCCAATGTTGGTTTCCCAGATGTTTGTTAAGCAGTGTAGCACACTCATGAAGTTAAGCAAACACAGCAGTCCAGTGTCAAAAACTCCATTGCACATCGACTCAGTACATCATCACTGACATATCTGGGTTTCTGTGGTGTGGCAGCGTGAAGCTGTGGTTAACTGGCTGACGTCGTGTTGTGAGTATGCACATACTGTGCTATAGCTTGGCAGACAGAATGAAAAGGCATTCAAGAATCCTAATAATGTAACTAAAATATAACACACACATCTCAGGCAGTTCCAGTGTCTCAAACATGCACACAAACTCTTACAGTACCTGGCTCTTTTATCACATACAGAATGGATTTGCCACTTTCATCTTCATAGTACTGGAAATACTCCACACAGTCATTCTCATCTTTGTATGAGCAATTCACTGCATTTTTAGTTTCTGTGAGATAAAAATGACAAGAGGAAGAAACAGGGTTATAACAATGATTCTGAGACATAAAACATAATTTAAATGGGCTTATACAGCACTTTTCTACACATTGATGCGCACTCAAAGTACTTTATACTATTTCCCAGACACACACAAATGCTCACACATTCATGCATTGGTGACATCACCAGGAGCAACTAAGGGTTCAGTGTCTTGCTCAAGGACACTTCAAGAAGAAGCCAGGAGTCAAATTGCTGGCCCTATGGTTAGGGGACAACCCGCTCTACCTCATGAGCCACAGCCACCCCCGGTCTAAAACGTAATATTTATCAGTACATAATATTCTCTGACTACAACTCTGACTCTGTTTTAAGAGCCTATGAGCAGCAGCAGCAGCAGCAGAAAAACAACAATACACATAACCATACTGTAAATAGGTACAGTATACATCATACATAGGCAGGAGATTAGAAGTCAGAGCTCTCACCTAGCTTATCCGCTACTTTAATTTCATCTTTGCAGATTCTGTTGCAGCTGTTGTCTGCTGTGTACTGTCCTCTCTTGAAGTGCTGACACTCAACACATTCCCTGCAAAGAGATTCCTATAATGTTACTTTTATACAGCACACACATTTACTACTGATTCTCTTCAGTGTCAGTCTGTGGTTCAATTTCGTATGCAAGGAGTGGATAAAAGCACAGAAACACCTCAGCGTTCTGCTTGTTAATTGGTCAGATAGCTGACTGGTCACTAAGCCCTAAACAGAACAAGAGGCCAGAATGAGTCCTAATGATTTTAGTGAAGCCCCTTGAACTTTCATCCAATGCCTCCATCAAGTCAAAATAACCCCTTAGCCAACATTTTGGTTCATGTCATGACACAGTATACGGCAAATTATCCGTCCAATTTTAAGTTTTTCTGAGGAAAAACTTAAAATTATATATTATAAGTAATTAAAATTATATTGTGTGGACCTCCCTCCACTTTCTACATACATAGCAATTTATTGTCCATGTTCATGGTCCCCAAATGATGAACCTCTTCCATTTAAGACTCTCCATGGGCTTTTCTCTTGCACCACCATCAATTGAAAATGTCACCTTTGGGTACATGATTTCTCAAACTAATTTCACGGTAGACTGCATGAAATTTGCAGGGCACATTCATGCTCCCAGGGAAATAAGACCCAGACTTTTCCTTTGGTGACAATTACTGGACAAATGAATGCTTCATGAATGGTCAGGCTTTAGAGGGTTTGTCATATCCAAAACATCTGCGTGTGATTTAGCTGCTTCAAAATGCACACCTTCTTCTTTTATGTTTTTTATGTTAGTTGAAACATTAAGTGACAGAATTACTTTTTTATAGTGCAGGAATCAGGACAGGTTGGGCATTTCTGGCAGGTGGCTCCATACGCACCAGGCTGGGTGCACTGGCAAACCCCACACTCACAGTTACCCCGGCCGCTGCACAGCAGGCCGATGCTAGACATGCAGGTGTCTGTGCGTGTGGTGCAGTTGCAGCTTTCTCCTTTCCAGCCAGCGTCACACTGGCAGATGCCACAGCTACACTTCCCATTGTCTGGAAGAATAAAAAAGATGAGGAGGTTAATCCTACAATAGGCCTTTCATGTTCATTCAAATATGTTTTCCACTGTCCATAATCACATGGGTGGAGCCAGTCAAATCATATTGTGAAATACAAATTTCACAGCTGGAAAATGAATCAGTGTTTGTTTGTGTGTACTTGTATGACTGTACATTATGAGGACCAGTTTGAGTTTTATACTATGAGAGTGGACATTTCGGCTGGTCCTCACTTTCTCATGCACCTTCAAAGGGTTGTTTGAGGGTTAAGGCTTGGTTTTGGGGTTGAGGGTAGAATTAGGTTTAGTGTTAGGGATAGGGTAAAGGTTGGGTTAGGCATTTGGGGGAAGGGGCTAGGGAATACCTTTTGTCAACAAGTGTCTTCACAAAGAAAGCTGTACAAACTTGTATATGTGTGTCATTGTTTTTGGTCTAGTGTCTGTGATTTGTTGGACTTTGCTGCCTATTAACCTGTGTTTTTAAAACATGTTGCATGCTTAGACAAGTGTGCCTGATGATGCATTTGTAGATTTGAAACCACATACAGTAATTACTAGTTATGTATAAAGTGTTATTTTTTGTGCAAAGAGACATGACAAGGCAGGACAAAGTGAAACAGTTTCAACAACCATTGACACAAAAAATGTACAAATGTAAAGTGTTACTAATGTATTATTTGTGTACTAGTCTTTAAAGGAATGCTAACTGGAAAGTACTTGTTAATCTAATCTTACTCACCAAAGGACACTACGCATATTTCTTAATCATCACTATTCAGACAAAGGCAGGAAATGATCTACTCTGAATGTACATAGTGTTGTAATATTTTCCTATCTCCTCAGAACAGTTGCACACAGGTACACTCCTCAGTCCTCACACTCTCCTGAAGTGTAGAAATCGCAATGCCAGGTCATTCTAGGAACTGTATTACAGTGACACAACCATTTGCTGACACAATGTGGATGTACACTTTTCTCCACTGGATTTCAAAGAGACACCCCACATCGGCACATTAGGCAGAGCACCAGAGAGAACAACATTCTTAACAGGAAACCACTAAGGATTTGACACCGGATGACTAAGTACAAACTGAGTGAGTCATAGCCCAGCTGGATCAGACTGGAGGAGGGACTGGTCATGAAATATCACAGAGGGTCCAAGAGTCTCTAATACCAGGACTCAAAACAAATCATCCAATGTTGTAAACATGAAGCAAATATTTCCTTGTCTCTGCCCTGTCAACTATGGCGTGTCTTTTCTCGATAGCATTTATAGCGGTGGTGAGCTGTGGTCACTGCTGGTTAATATTTAACAGTCTCACCTCTACTGCATTGCAAAACAATTGCTGAGTAATCTTTCTTACTCTGTCAACAAGTTGGCAGCTGAGAAATGTAGATAACAAGAAAAATTTGTGATATTTTTTGTTAAAAACTTAGCAGGTCAGCACTGTCATATCTTTTCATGGTGTAGAGTACTTAAACTTGACAAGACTGAATCATTGTCCTGTTCTCGTTAGTTGTAAAGTTGATTCACACACATAAAAGGGAGTTTTATGATTTACATCATTGAATTCCCTATTTGGGATTGCACAGTACTCCTGCCCATCTGAGCTTTAGGGAAGGTTAACATGGGGTCCAACAGGGATAAAGACAGAACAGTAAAACAGAATATTATGCTATTAGAAGTAAAGAGGGAATGGAATCAAAGAAACTAGGGACAGAGGCATAAGGGAGAGAGATGAGACTGGGGAAACTGCCAGCAGAGGAATGCAAACTTTCCTGCTCTCTCTTCTCCCATATTTATGGACCCTGGGGCTGTGCTTGCTGTCTCCTGCTGCCTGGCCCGCCACCGCTCCCACAGCCCCCTCAGCCCCCACAGCAGAGGAAGAAATACACAGCCACAGGGGATATCACAGAGATGGAGGCTTTTGGAGCCATAGGTCACATTAGCTGCAACTGAGCTGGGGCTGAGGGATGCCTGTTCTTTGAAGACAATGACAGCATGGCTGTATTGAGACAAAGTGACTTAGTTGTCACAAATTGAGCTCTGTGGACTTAAACCAGTGCTGCGTGTGTCTGCGTGTGGGTGGGGGATTGGGTGAGTATATGTGCACAAATCCTGGGTGTTCTCACTAAATGCCTTAATACCTGTTTCTAAACCTCTCTTGAGAAAGACTCCAGACTCCTTCTTGTTGATACAAGCATGTCATATTTTTGGAAAATGGCAGTTTTCCAACACACACATTACCGTCCATCTTCTCCCTAGGTCATGGTGCACCCACAAGACATCTCCTGAATGTTGCAGTACAGTGGAGCTGTATGTACTGTTTATTTGTGGTTTTATGTTAAAAGTGAACTGCAGTGAATTATTATTATGCTGTCATAAAGATAAAAAAAAAAGATCTAAATCAATGCAACAAAGGCAACGATATCCTGATGTATAGCCCCTGTTACAGGTCAGGCTCCAAAAATGCTGGTTGCTATTTTTCTCATAACTTGATAGCATCTTTTAGACCCTCCCTGTCTGGTAATCACCCACATTTTTCAAACTCTGCAAGACGATAACAGTGGTGACATGCTCAGGCTATTTTCTCAGACAAAGCCGGATGGCACCCGTTAGTACCCAAGGGGTTTGGGCTGGGTTTGGGCAGAAATTTAAAATTATGTTCGAGTCCTTGTCTGGTTCAGACACATAGGTCAAACTTTAGGTTATATGGCTGGAGCACTAAAATGTCTGCTTTGTTTAATGATAAGGGGGGAAAGCACTGTACAAACTTAACTGTGCCAGGCTCAGGTCGGGTTCGGCCATTATATACTATAAGCTTGTCTTGTCTGGGTTGGGTTCAGGCGCCACACTCTCAGTCATGGGTAGGGTTTGGACAGAACATGCGCTGGGCACAGTTGGTGGAGCTCCATTTTAAAAAAGCAGGACACATTAGACATTAAATTCTTGTTTCCACTTGAATCAGAGTAAGTATGCATAGTTAATGTTTGCTCTGCTTAATGTATGCAAAGACAAACAGTTTTCCTATTCTGCCTTTTCTATGCCACCCCATCTCCCCTTACAACCACAGACCCAAAATGCTTTTACAAATTACCCAATAACAAAGTGTACTAAATAAATGGTTTAGGTTGGGTAACTTTGCACTGAGGTGTACAGACTTGTAACAGTGGGTGATAGAACATCATGCCTCACTGCTGTTAGTGGTAATAACACCAGTTAAAGTCTGAGCAGCACCAGGTTTACTGGCCTGACATTTCTGTTTATGTTCAACAGCTAAATGCCAAAATTATTTATATGCCATAATAACGAAACCTTTGTTTTGAAAAAGCTGTGAGCTTTTAATTTGTCAAGCCAAGAAACAGAAAACTATGTAAACCGACTAAGGTGTGTTTACAGACTGATGAATAAAGAAATGATGTTTTCAGTATCTGTTTACTTTTATTCATCTATTTATTCTGAGCCCAGAAAACAGACTCTTGATTTCTGTAAATTCTACCATGTAGAGTGAGAGTGACTGCAAACAACCAAAGTATGTTCCAGTTAGGCCTGATAAGTCCTCAGAGGATGGAAAAGGAAGGAAAGGGTAACGCCATCCTTCCTGTTGACAGCGGCATAAAGTAAAGAGTTATTTCACCCATATTATATCTTTTATCTAGCCATATGGAAATTTTGGTTTTATATATCAATAAATGTGCTACTTGATTCAGTGGAAGTAGATGGCATTAAATATATGCTCACAGTGATAAACAATTACATTTAAACGAGACAAGCGTCTACAACCATGTGGGCCTTTGAGCTAATTGCTACCACCAGCTTGGGAACATGCACAGATATCTGCATGGCTATACCCACAGAGGTAAATTAGAAAATGTTTATTTATAATCTCTGTGAATCAACCCTTTAAGGCCAGTGCCTTTGCTGTAACAGTTTTAAAGACTAAGGGCAAAATGTCATGGTTTCATGACAATTTATTTGTATATGTTTTCTTTACTTTTATTTGTAACATAGTGTTTATTTAGAGATTAGTAAGGTGTAATGAGGGAGCTGGATGTGGATTCAAAAGCTCGCTGCCTACTGGTACATTAGGACCTGCTGTTTTGTGTCACATTGCTGTCTAAGCACTTCCTGATTTAACAGAATGTCATACTGGTGTTGGAAAAACTGCAACAATGATCATGACAGAAATAAGTGTATCTACTCACCAGAGCAAAGTGCCCCTTTGAAGCGCAAGCAGTTGAAGTCGTCACATTCACAGTACTTTCCCCACACCTGACCAAACTCATTGGCATGACAGGAGCACTGTCCACACAAACAGTCACCTCTCCCGCTGCAGAGTGGGCTGTCTGTCTTTGGTATGCAGTTGGCATCATCAGATGGACTGTAGTCCTCCACTGAGCACTCGCACCGTGGGCCCAGACGACCCTGGTGACAGTGACACACACCACACTCGTATGTCCCGTTTCCATTGTTGCAGAAGGGGCTGTTAACCTGTGCCTTTGCCTCACAGTCACAACCACAGGCAAAGTTCACCGTGACCTCCAGGGAATCCTTGAGGCCTAGAGGTTTAATGGTAAAAGTGCGGCTCTTCTCTTTAGGACAGCCCCGCAACTGAGCCTCCACACTGAATGACACCTGAGGAGGAGAAAATGTCTCTGTGATAATCTGTAGATACCAAATGTGTGTAGGACACATCAGTATCTCAACCAAAACATACTGTGTCACCGATCTTGAGGCCAGTGCAGGACTTGAGTCCAGGGATGATCTCTCCATTCACGCAAGTGGCATTGAAGGAGAGATTCAACTCCTCCGGCACTCCAAGTAGCTCTAGCTCCACTTTAGAACGAATTTTCTGCTCAGCATAAAGTTAGCAATCATGTTGATAGTTAGTTGTTTTACAATACAACACCAATTTGCATGTTCCACTTATTACCCCTAATTCAGGTTGTACTTGCCGCATAGGCCTGCTCAATGAGCTGAATAACATTGCCAGAGTCACCAGTCAGCATACCGACAGTTGTGCCTGGAATGAGCTGACTATACTCCTGGGAAGACATGAGACAACAAGATGATGACCAAAGTTTTGTGTTTTTTTTAACTATGAAAAACTAAAACAAATTTGTACTGTGGGCCAAGCAGTACAGTTTGTTTACCTTGTATAGGGACGACACATTGTCGGTCACGGCAAAAATTAAATTGATGTTATTTTCAGACATTTTGTCAGTCAAAAGTCCCAAGGATGGATAGTCCTGGAAGACATAGCATATCGTTTTAAACAGAGATGTCTGCCAACTTCATTAACTATTAAAAATCATGAAGAACCAATGTTGTATCTCAATGTCACCCTTTACCAGCACAGTAGATTTGTTGTAAATGTTATTATTATCAAGGTAACACTGTCCATCACTGGGCTGGACAATGCCAGCTATGCGTCCATCCAGAGCAATGTGAGTTATGGCATCAGTTGTGAACACCAGTAGGTGTGAGGCATCAGGACGCCAGCCAATCTTCTCCTAATGATGATGAGCACAAGAAGAAATACAATGCACTCAGTTCGGCACATCAGTGAGCACTTGTTTGTTCGTGTATCGCTATGTAATTACAGTTTTTATACCTTGCAAACCACAGCCTGTATGACAGCGTCTAATCCACCCTCGGGAGCATCTCTGTTTCTAGACACTTGCTGTTTGCCCACTTCCTCAGTGAAACGAGCTACCTTCTCTGTCAGGGACAGCACATTCTTGAACCCAAACTGAGCCTGGCATGTCTCATCAATTCTGTAAATGGTGAATAGGTGAAAGGATAACAGAGAATCAGTGAGGGATGAAAATCAATTTTAAGTCATTAAACACAACTGAACAGACTTTGTCAAAATATTAGAAATTCTCCTCTTGAGCTCCTTCTCCTCCTCAGACATAGCACCAACCAAAAAATCCCTACCTACCCATAGCAAGGGTTTTTGATTGCCTCCGGAGGGTACATGAACATGTATGGTAATGTGGTCTTGTCCACAAAGGCTCCAAACCCCATACGTAGGTTGCTTGTGGTGCGGCCCATGGTCAGAGCGAGCTCATTGCCCAAGGTGTGAAGGCGAGCCAAATCATCCTTCATTGAATATGAAAGATCCATCAGATAGTAGAGGTCCACTGGATAATCCTCCACCTGTTTCACTGACACAGTGAAACGCTGGGCATCACCTGAGAAAGAAAAAGGGCCACAGAGGTGGAGACAGCAGATAGCACTGCGCAGTAGATGAGCTCAACTTGTCTATTAGGTGAAAAAAATGTAAATATTAAATTTTGATAAGATCATAAGAGATGTACAATAAAATCATATACTTTAATTCAGTCTGCTATCAGGTCTTCTGGTGCCTCAGGCTATTAATGTAGAACAACAACAGTGGTCATTCTGTGTGGACTCAAAACAGTACCAGTGCATGTATCTGATCTCATATGGCTGTAAGTGTCTGAGAGCATGTTTATGGGTGATATCTGATTGGCTGAAAAAGTACCTGGTCTCAGTGACATATAGAGTTTCTGAGGCTTTATCTGAGTAACGTCGTCAGCTGTACCCGAGGCCCTGTCACTGAGCGGTGCATCCTTTTGAATAGTCAGAGTGCTGGAGGGAAACTCCAGTGCTGCCTTACTGCACCCTTCATTCAGCAGGTTCTGCTTCAGGTCACAGCGAGACACACTGGATCTCCCCTTCCCAAACTCCTGAAACAAACACATCTGCCTGTTGAGTTCTCAAGCAAGTGAGGAGTTAATAAAGTATCATGAAAGACAAAGGAACCAATGAAAGAAAAATAATTTTAGTTTTGTATTTATGTGATTGTCATGTTTGATCCACCAGGCACAGGTAAAGATTCTGCACACCACTGCCCACTGGCCTCTTACTTTTAATCTTATCAGTTCAAACCTATACTGCATAAGCATGGCGAACAATCAGCATGAAGGAACAGCATACGGTAAGTGTGTAAAAATGCTGTTGCAAAATGAGATTCCTGTTCTAACTTGGTGCAATGAGAAATGGATGGGAGGGGTGATGTGTGATGATTTTACCTCCTGAGAGCACCATGCACAGGTGGGATGAACGGCCAGACACTGTTGACAAGTGGTGACTCCTTGTGATGTGCAGATGTTGGAACCTGTTAATCACACCAGCAGAACTGTAACACACACTTTAGTACATTTCCTTACACTTACAGCTGATGCAAAGTGACAAATATAGCTGCTGACCACATCTAAAAAAAAAGTTAGAAACGGTGACATGCTACCACAAATGCTGATATTACTGCCATCACATTCGGTCTGTCACTATGTGCAGTGCACAAATCCGAGTACTTGTTGAAGTCGGATAACAGTTTATGATGGCAAATGATGCTAATTTTCATCCACAAATTTACTATGTTAGCAAATTGCACCAAACGTTTCATTCTATGTAAGTCAACAAAGTAGTTAATTTACTAACCATTTACAAGGCTATTTGTTATCTAGTGTGGTCTATGGGCGCGGCTCACTTGAATCAAACACAGGAGCACGGTTGCTCATGTTAATTTACCTGAATGCAGGCTAAATAAAAACAATCCTATTTTAACTCTTGAATAACATCACATCAGCTAACAAATCATGTAAGTAAAGGCAGCGTAAATAAATACACACAACTGAAAGATTTGTGGACTGACTTTCAAGGCGCTACCTACAACACCTGAGCTATAAGTGTCACGGTGTATATAGAAATATCTGTCATACTGTTTCTACTTTGCGTTAACGGACTCCACGGATACATATAATCAGTTATGTGCTGCTCATCAGACTGCCCTTTGCGGCGGACACTCGGGGAGCTCGCGTGCCGCTTTGGAGAACACATCCTTAATATTTTCACTCCCTTATAAGGAAAGGTGGCGAGTGCCCGAGCGCAGTCGCTCCATTCGAGTCAGCGAACTGTCAATTACTTTGTGTTCCGTTTGAGAACATTATATACAATAGCTGTGGTTACCAGCATAAATACTGAATATTAGTAAATGTTGACAGTATGTGGTAGGCTATGTGCCTTTCCCGTCGGTGGAAACACCCCCACAGGTAAACTAAGCAGGTGAAAGTTTTAAAAGTAGTCCAGATAACAAAAATAATCTTACCGAGAACGTTTGATACCGATGACAAAAAGAGAAACAGTACTACTAGCCGGCCTAAAAGAGTTCCCATGGCTGGAGAGTAACGGAGCCGACTTGACGTGCGTGGTCTGTGCGCACTGGGCTTGTTCACTGAACTTGAAAGCCTTTCCTCATTCTTGACTTGACAGCCACACCACATTCTCCATCCACTCCGTGTATCCGGGAACAGTTATTTTTATGGCGTGTTGAGACGCGTCTCTGACATGACGCTGATAACCTCTATTTTGAAATGTTGAGGGGAAAACTGCCAAAAATGAAGAATTAAAAACAAAAACGACAATTTAATTTTTCACATAAGTGACAGCATCCACTCAACAGACGTGTTTAGTAACCATTATGGTTGTGTTAATATGCTACTTCCTCCGGCCTGGACAGATAAAGAAAAGAACTCCAAATACTCCAGAATAGCGAATTGTTCCACATTAGCTATTCTGGAACACTTCACTCTGTCTCTTATAACATGTCAACACTGTGTTTCACTAATAACATTATGCAGTAAGTAAACAGGCTATGTGGACAGTTTGGCTGTGAACTCTTAACCATTAGTAATCATACCAAAACTGTTCAAAACTAATGTCACAATCATACTGTAGCCTAAGTGGAATAGTTTTTCCCCCCGTTTTTCTTTAACCACTGCCAGTTTCCATGATACTTTTTAACCCTTGTCTGCTATTTTTTGGACTTTTTTCATTATTGCATAACTCCTCTATTTCCGTTGTGCGAAAAGTACCAGTGGCCATCAAAACCGCAGCTATAGGGTGTTAGAATTAGGTTCCACTGTCATTTATGTATATGAGCCAACTATAAACTCTAACATTTTTAATTTTAGGCTGGAACTGGAGATGCAGTAGTCTAATGGACTAACTTGACTTAATGTACATACTGAAGAGGAACAGCATTTTGCACACTTAATGTGTTTGCAAGACACACTGCTGCAGTTGATGACGTGTTACTTAACGTATACTGTAGTTCATATTAAAGATAGAGCTGATTTGAAATGACTATTACCTCTCTCAGTCATACAATACATGTATAATTTCACCGATTATAAAAATATATACACTTTTAAAGTTACTTACATCTTTTTAAATATTAGTTACTTTCCATGACTTACCGCCCTCTACTGGACTGAAGAGAATACAGCATATAACACATACTGTACAATACATGCTGCACACAGTAGTGTTGAAAATAATGTAAAATGTAATGCCAAAGTGTAAAACTGGAAAACCTGTCATGAAAAGCTAAATATACAATTACAACCATGTGCTTTAAAATGAACGAACTGCCACAAATACCTGAAGATGCTGATTATGGAGTCTATACAGTATAGGTGACTTTTCAGGGTCTCAAAGAACTGACTTTGCCACACATTATTGCTGTGTATTCCATAAAAATAGTAAGTAAGTAAAGCTCTCTGTCCACCTCTTTAAATGTATGAATCTGAGAAGTGCCTGCCAAAGAAAACCTCTTTCTATTCCAGTTAATAATGGAGTATGTGGAAATCTGCCAGTTTCTAAAACAAGAAAACAAAACAAACACAAAAACAAATACAATAAAAACACAAAGAAAGGAAGGAAGAAAGAAATGATGCAGAAATTAACTTCGGGAAGTGTGTAGTGGGGTTTGTTGAAGCCGACAATGCTTCTTATCTCCGCCCTTGTCCATTTATTGAATCTTTATCCCTGTGCCCTGCTTTTATTCTCCGGCTGGTTGCTAAGTTACAGCCACCTGTGTCCAAGAATTGCTGCTAGAAAAAATGACAGAAACAAGGAAATAAGTAGGAAAGCTATATTAGTCAAGTGTTCTGCTGGCATTAGGTTGTCAGTGTGTGGGTGGAAGGTTCAGGTAATACGTTGCGAGCCATCATGCCCTCTTCAATATTGACTGATTTGGACCTAGTAGATCCATAACCGTCAGTGGTGACCAGCCCCACAGTTGAATGGTATTTTGGAAAGAGCAGTTGCCCTATGTAAAGCCAGATATCAGGTCAGATGGCAGCCAATTAAGACTGAACAAGAAGCAAGGAGCAGGTTGGAGGAGGAAAGGGGCAGAGGACTCTTGACCTCTGTTACAGATCTAGCTGGAGTCCCTTAAGTCTGAAAACGCTGTCGCAGAGAGCCAATATTAAAACACAGTTGCTCTCAGTTGTGAAGTTGTGATGCATTCCTCTCTGAGCAGTCCCCTCCTCTTCTAGCGTACATTGCCCTCAGCTTATGTGAGGATAAAGTAAAAATAAATAATGATACAACAGAAGCATAGTTCCGGTGAAGGAAATTTTTGTTCTCTTTTGTTTTAAGTGCACCCAGACTTTAGAACAGTGGGAAGTTTAATGTAGCTTGCTGTTGAACATAAGAGACACAGCTGAAAAGAAAGATGTTGGAACAAAAAAGACATGCTGGCTGAAGGAAGCTGATAAAGGAAGAGGAAACACAAGGCAGACCAGAGTAGCCTGCATTACTGAAACATGGAGATGTGTCTAAATGAAAATGAGGTTAATGGGTATAGTGGCCGAGTGTATGATCTGTCAGAACTGCAGAGACGGATTCCTTCAATTAGATTCATGAAATCTGTCATCTCTGGCTCAAACAAACACATTTTCACCAGCAATTCAAAGGGGCTGTAGCAGATCCAACACACAACTTCCCCATGCAAAGTCAAAGCAATGAAGTCAGTACCACCTTAAGATAACTTGAATGACTGATGGTTGCTTAGTGTAAAGTTGATGTGGGGCACGACTCTGCTGTGGCACTCCGTCCCTGCTATCTGTGTCTAACTGATGAACGTGACTGGGAGTCCCAAAGGTGGCAAACCCTCTCAGATCAAAACATGACCATTAACACTTCCTCTGCATTTTGTGATACTAGGTTCATTCATATTCAATATCTAAAAACACCTTTAATTGCACTTTTTACTCTCCTTGGTGTTTCCTGGTGTTAAATTGTGCATATGCACCAATTTTCCAGCGCACACAGGGACACAGAGGCTTCTCAGGAGTCATGTGTGTGCTTTGATCAACTAATAACGAGTGGGTCTTAGGAGGAATCTGTTAACTGAAAACAGAAAAGTTGTGAGGAATGCCTGTTCCTTTCAGAAGGGCTTGAAAAGGTGTGTCCAGTTTGAGCCCTGAGTCATACCAGGTGCTGTGGCAGTATTACACAAATGATGTATGGAGCAGAGGGGAGGTGGCCGGGGTCAAACACCGCCTCCTTGTTGCTAGGGATGTCTTCACTTTCTTTGTTGTTGCTAGGCTGCCAATTCCTTCGTGTTAAGTGGAAACATTTCCCCCCGTCCGTCCAGGAACCTCATTACTCCCTCCCTCTCCTTCTCCTCTAAACCAAAATAACTTCACCAACCATCTGTCACTGGGCTCACAGGTCTCTTGTTGCTTAGGAACAAGTTAGACACTCACATTCATGTCTATATGCATCTCAATATGAATACATCTTAATAAGAAATTATACTAACAGTAACCCAACATACGCATCTCCGCCAGTGACCAGTACATCAAAGAAATATGTTAGAGGAAAGAGCGTGAAGTTATAAATCAGCAACAGGCTTATAAAATGTTTAAAGGGTAAAATGACTGGAAAGACATTTAGTAGCGATGTGATGGATTTTCAAATTATTGGATAATTACTTCCAAACTGACGCTTTCTCACCACATTCTCCTCCTGTGTAAATTCTTTGTAGTTTAAAGCCCCAAAGAGCCATTGTTAGGTTTTAAATTTAGTGAAGGACTGACATATTGATAGAGAGATGAAGTTTAAGAACAAGCTACTCTCCATAATCACACTGCAGTGAATAATAGAACAGAATCAAATTGCACAGCCCTGATTTACATGCTGCCAATTATTTTGCGGCAACAAAATCCAAAGGCTGATGAGATTATCTGAGGTTTTTTTTTTGTTCACAAAAATAGTCCTTGCCTTTTTTTTTTTTTTTTCAAAAAGCCATCCATCAATAAATAATCAGAGACTAAACCAGCTCCAGGCTTATGAAGCACTTTTGTGGATAGAGCTAAACGTTGTTTGTATGCATGATTGTCAGTTGGTGGCTGAAAGCTGTTTTTCCCAGACATCAAGAGCATCCCAAATTGAATTTCATGGCCTTTGTTTTTAGACAAACAGCATATTAATCTGACAGGCTCTACTGACAAGTCTTGGGCAGTCATTTCAAAATGTTTTAGGCAGTTTTCTTTTTAACCTGTTGACAGTCATCTCTGCAGCTGTTCATTGTCATTCATATAAGCGAGGTATTAGAATAAAATTGAAAAAGTGTGTTTATGCATACAAGTGCATGAGTATGAGTACATACTCATGACTGTAAGTCCACCAGCTGCAGTCCTTTAGATTGGTGCACAGTCAGACAAGATAACCTCTATTGTGGTTTTACCACCTCTTTTTAGAAATTTTAAGTTTCCGCCCTCCTTTCAGTACTTACAACTCCATTATAATCTGCATAGAAACACTCATAAATTTGAAATGTTTAAATTTTTAAAACTGGAAATCATGTTAACCAAGTATTCTGCATCTTAAGAAACAACAGCCTGGAGTGAAACAATATCTAATTCAATGGTAATAAAAACAGTATGGCACACTAACTATTAAATCTCCCTCAAGTGCAATTTTTCAAAAAAGTACTGACCTCATAAAGAAGAAACCTCATTATGTGATACTTGGTTTCACAAGATTGGGTTTCGTAAATGTAGTCACTTATGAATGAAGACTGGTCTGAGTGATGAGGGAAAACAATATGAGCAGCATTTTCTGGACTAAGGATTGATAATGATTTGAAACTTGCTTTCCTGAGGCTCCTGCTTCTTTACAACTAAGGGTACAGGTGTTTCAGCTCCACTTTAGTGAGCTGCTATTCCAAGAAACAGTTACACACAACATGTGAAAGAAAAAAGAAATATTTGAATCAGGACTCAACAGATATACAGTAGCATATTTAAGGCCAATATTCATATTTGAGGGTTTTAAAAATCTGGGTATTTATCAAACATCAAACAGTAGGACAACACTCCCAAGCAGCCAAAATTCTCAGAATGATGCATTGTTGGTCCTGCCCTTATTGGTAGAAGAGCATGGAGCTTTTTATTAACATTCCTGATTTAGGAAATCACTCCTGTCTCCAGCAAACTGCAAGAGAGCTGCAGGAATGTGCTAACTGGTGACAAAAGTCTGTCTGTGCACTGCAAGACATGGGTGGAAAGTGATGGGTCAAGTCACGCCCCTAACCCCCCCCTTAAACACAACAGTGTCTGTCTGCTGCTGCAGGTGGGCATGGTATTTAAGTTGGCATACATTGTGTAACTAACCTACGCAGTCCACTTAATGACATTGAGCTCATTAAAAGATGCTGTTGGGATAAAAATTGAACTATATTCGAATGAAATGAATCAGCAACAGATTTTGTGCAGGATGCAGTTGCTTCATCTACATGAAGAACACCTGCTATTTCCAATTAAAAGGAGGCCATCACAACTTTATGTTTTTTACTAACAGGAAAGCTTCAGCTTTGCAACAGTGATGATTTGGGTCTGTCACAATTCATATTTTTTGCCAGAATAAATCAAACTTCGATTACTCCTACAGCACCATAGATAATGAACAGATTTGTTTATTTCCCACAGCTCAGTGTGAAAGAAATGAAAAATCAGCTACAATTATGCAAATCACAGGTGTCTCTGGATTTGATGGAGTCATCGCTGGCACACAAACTACTGCACCAAGCACCAAGGAGGGTGCTTTATATGAATCAAACACTCAAGTGGTTATGGATGTGAAGTACACGATCCTGGATTATGTGGCCAAATGTCCTGCTTTACACACAACTCATGAGTAAAGAGAGTGTGGACTAAAACTTTTATTTGAAAATGTGTTATCCCTGGATACGCTGGTTTATTATAGAAATAACAAAATAGGTGGATGCAGATGATTGGCTTTCCAATAAACTTACAGCCTTCTAGGAGAATAGACTTGGTATAAAGCATATTCATATAAATAATAATAGCTGTGTTATCTTATATTCAGTTTTTGAAACCTTCACTATGGAAGTAAATCTCTAGTGAGAGCACACTAACCACATTTTGAATGCTACTCAGATTGCAACTCAACATTTGGGGGCACAGATTTGTAACTTCAGAATCAGATTTGACAGCAGATTTGAGAGTGCACGCCGATCAGAGTCTACATTCTCAGATTTTGCCACTGGTTTTGTATGAAGGTCTGTTGAGGCCAAAATGTTTGCAAGCACACAAAATTGGTTTTGAGCTCTATTAAGTTTTGGTAATCAGAATTTGAGAGTGTGCAGGCATTATAAGAGCAGAAACAAAGCAAGGAAGGATCCCTGTTGTCCTCCCTCACTCTTAAATCTGATCCTGCTCTTGCAGGTCCATGCCTACATGTTCTCACATGCTCAGTTGCAGACTTTTGGCACCAAAAGACTTTCACTCTGGTTAAAAAAAGTACACTAAAGCACATTTTTGTAAAAGTATATTTAGTGTACTTTCACCTTCTCACAATTAGTGTGTTTAAAGTGTGCTATTTTCAAGTATACTGACTTAGTGCAATTAAAACTATAATGAAATGAAATAAAGTGCACTAATAGTGCAATTAGTGTACTATTTTGAGACAGCTTAAGATGCATTTTAATGTACTTTAAGTATTTTTTGTACAATTGTGTAATTTTAAAGTATATTAATGCACTTTAATGGTAAATAAACACACTTATGAAATGCAAAACTATACTTAAACCTTTATTAAATTTATAACACAGCAACAGTGGATTAAAATATATACTTTAAGTGCAAATAAAGAATATACAACAATAGTTCAAAAATGTACTTATAGTACATTAAAATGCGTCTTAAGGGTGTTTCAAAATACTACAGTTAGCACACTTAAATGTATTTTAGTATAGTTTTATTTGTACTAATTTTATATAATTAGTATACTAAATACATTGTAAGTAAGAGCACATTTTAAACCCTAATCATAAATACATGTGAGCATACTTAGTGTACTTAAATAAATTCTGCTTTAGTTTTCTTTTTTTCTGGCAGTGTAGTTGTTCAACCAACTTTATTCAAGTTAGCACATGAATTACATCAAACTTAACTAAATAAAATAATTTACAAGAGAATTGAGTTGTGCACACAAAAGCCAGTGGAGACATCAGAAACTAGCACATGTATTGCCAGGATTATACTGTCAAATCTGGTTGTCTGCTTACAAATATATGCCTGCACACTCTCAAATGCTGAGTTCCAAGTTGTGTTGCTCTTGAAATGTAGTTAGTGTCCCCATGCAAACCCCACAGAGAAAGGCCCTGGCTGGCCACAGGGTGCGAACCTTAAACCTTCTTTCTGCGAGGCAACCTCTGTGCTACCTATTTCTGCAGTTCTGAAATTGTGCTTGTAAGAGTCCAATCCAAATGTTTTCAGGTCTAAAAGTAATGGTTTATGATCTGGACCTGAGCCGTATTCACAAAGAATACCACTAGGAGTCCTCCTAAATGACTGCTCCTAGCTAAGGGCTTCCTCTAAACACCTTTTCATGAAGCTGCTGAGAGCAATTTCAGGTAAAATACTGTGAGAACTATTCAAATAAGAGAAGGGTAGAGTTGACTCAGATGCTATGGATGACACTGTATCTCCTGAATGACCATTTTCTCTTTGTTTTCACTGTTTTCTAGGGTGTGAAATAAAATATTGATCAATACACAGGAGCTTTAAGAAGAAATGTAATGACACCAGGTAGATATAGAGCATGATAGTTTTCCAACTGACAAATCAAATCTTCAGACAATGATGTGATGATTTTACACATATCATCGATTTTGCTAGATCAACTCGGCCATGGTCATCGCCTTATATGTGTTTACAGCTGGTCATTATTTAACGTGCTCAGCTGAACAAAGCATAAGGTCTGCGCTTCAGGGGTTTCATTTCGGGAATAGGAACAGCAGGTGCAGCGAAAGCAAGGGAGCCCATTTTTTTTTTTGATAAATACTGTATTTGTCATGGCTCAGTCACAGTTTATTAATTCATGTCTTTATTTCTAGGTTATAGCCCATGCGCCTATAGGCGTATTGTCTTTCTGTCAAGGCTCCTAGTTTCCTCAGCAACAGGCATTAAAACTCTATAAATATCTCCCAAAGTTTTAATTGTTTTTCAGTGCAGCTAGCAATCTGCAGCTCATATTGATTATACCTGAACCGAATGTTTTCAGGTTTTAAATCATTTTGATCACTTTCATGTGAAACCCTCAAAGTTATAGTACGTCTGACTCAGTACTGACCAGGCTGTCAGGCGCCACTGATGTGTATAAAGCACTAAGTGGGTTTTACAAGAGGACACTTTAAAATATCCACGTCTATGGATCATTTAGCTTCATTCCTTCTTGAAAACGAATTATCTTGAATAAAGTGACTAAGAGGAAGTACCATTTATTTGAAATAGCTACATTAACCTGTTGAGCAATTTCAGGAAACATATTGCTTCTTGAAAAGGGACTTTTGTGAGAGCAAAATGTGCATCTGTCGATGTCGTAGGATCCAGGAGCAGTAAATCACAGGAAAATAATGAGCAGATTAAATGCCAGATCAGGACCTCAAATGAAGACTTTTCTCTTTTTGCACGTCGAAGGAGCAAGCGCATCATATGAGCCCACTCCCCCGGTGAGGAGTGGCGGTGTGGTCCGCGGGGAACTCATCAACACTTTAAAAAGCACCAGAGACTTGGCACAAAAGAAGCGCTCGCAGGCGAGCACGGAGACTGTCTCTTATTACACCAGAGGGATACACGCGCTGTGCAAGAAGACTGCTAAAAGTGTGTGAGGGGGAGTGTTCTTTGAGATGAATAAACTTACTTTTTGGTGCACCTGATGCGACCTACTTGGACTGCAGTAAACTGTCCTGTGAAGGGAATGTGGTCATTACGCACCGGGCCTGTTGAAAACACGAGGTTTGCCCCGACATTTGGACTTTGAAAGCCTGTTCTTCTTTTTGCTTCTACTATTTTTGTCTGAACATTCACATGACGCAAAGTTTTGCTCGGAGTCCGGGTTTTATGGTAAGACTTTGTATCTGCCAATTGGAGTCGCATGTCTATTTGCTGATAAGCTGCGAGGAAACATGAACGACTCCTTCTTCAACATGACTCAGGGCGCTCTGTTTAACGGGAGCCTTGCCGAGACTCTGGCAACATATTCCGGCAATGGTACCGACGATGTGGTGACCGGTGACGGTGGAGGGTCCCTGGTGCTGCTGCAGGAGGAGCGCAAACTCTTCGTCATGCGCGTGGTGCAAATCGCGGTGCTGTGCGTATTGTCACTCACCGTAGTGTTTGGCGTGTTTTTTCTGGGGTGCAACTTGATGATCAAATCGGAGAGCATGATTAACTTCCTCGTGAAGGACCGGAGACCCTCCAAAGACGTGGAGACTATCATGATCGGACTCAGCTAGAGCATGAAGAGCAGGAACTGTGGAGAACCGGAGAGGAGGCTCCGGTGCGCGTATCCAACCGCAGGTCCAAATCTGCAGTTGCTTGGACTTACCAGTGACGCTTTATCAGTGTTCTGGTGAGGAAAGATATGCAAGAACTTCACATTTCCTTCCGAAGAACGACCGCGGGAACATAATCTAGTGAATGTTTGCTTCCAAAGCTTTGCGTGAAATATTGGCAATTGTTTACATGTGGGCCGATCTGTTGAATCTTTTGAGTCAATTTAATATTGCCAACTGGAACAAAGTGACGAAAATGTTTACAAGGTGTTACCTCATTTTTGTTTTAGCTTTTGTAAATTTGAAATGGCTGTTAATGAATGTCTTTAAAAGTTAAAAGCATGACTATAAATTCTGACAGCTCCACGTCTGTCAGTATGACGTGATGGACGACGTGATGATATGTGGTTATTCTCTATACAAAGTATTTTTCTTGGTCTCTCGGTAAATAGACTCTAAAAACTAAGATCTTGCACGTTTTTCAACAAACTCCGTCAAAGCTTTATGGGGTGAATCTGGTCCTGTTTGGCATGCTCGCTGGTTGATCTGTAAAGTGATTTTTGGACCCGTTTTGCACTTTTAAACTCTGATGCTGCATGAATTATTTTGTACCAAAAACTTGAAAATGCAGCATGCAATTAAAACAATGACATGAGCATATTAACCTTTGTCATCCGTTTATTAACATGATACATATTATTTTAACATGACTATGGATTTATATCTTTGGCAGATTAGGGTTCAGTCGTGCTTGCAAATATACTTTTCGTCCAACATTGCAATTAAGTCTTTTAAATTAGACCTCAGTGATCATATATTGAACATTATACCTTTTTTTTTTGCTTTTTCATTTTGAACTGAAATCAAATCATACTTAAAACGTTCTCTGATCCATCTCTCTCTTCATATTTAATCAAATCATGAAAGAAATTTTTCAGTTAAGCTTTAGGTTGCACTCACTTAAAATGAGACAAATCAGAAACCATATATGACACAGTCACACTTAATAGATAAAGAAGCTCCTCAGTGAGAGCAACCTGACATATAGTGCAGCTTCATGTAGGGAGGCAGTGAGAGGCCAGGCTGACTTATCCATCTTGAGGACACAGAAGCTTAAAGACACTCAGGCTGACCTCATATTGGCTTCACAGCATTTAATCTGATCTCTCTCAAGAGTGAACAGCTGCAATCAGGAAACATTCAGGCTCTCTCCAACCACTTCCCCTCCCAGCAGCCCCCTGCTGCACCTCTGGGATCTAGAGACATTCATGCTCTTCTTCATTTCAGAACATTTTTTTAAAAGACGATATAAATGTGAATATGCCAGCATTTCAGTGAACCTACTTATGTAATTACTCTTCTTTTTCCTTAGTGTCTGCAGATTAAACACTTTCCTTTCTCAAGAGATAAAAAAAACTTTTATAGCCATTTCTATTTCAGACAGAGAAAGTCCACAGAAATGGTCATTGTAGGTGTCAGGTATTAGATTACCACTGTTTTCAGCTCAGCATTTTGGTTCAATTTCTCTTCTGTTTCTTCACTATTTCTATATGTGCCCCCTTTTCCTTCTCTCCCTTGTGCCCCACTCAGAAACAACCAATCTTCTCATCATTATTATTTCAGTACTTGTTAGGAGAGCTGGGGTAGATGAATCCTTACAAACACACCCATGCATTCACATGTGAGCCCATTCACCGTGCACACATTATGTGCAACAGACCAGAAAATTCTGACACCAACCACAAGTAACTCAGAAAAACAACATGAATAATAAATAAAATTCATGCTTCTCGTACACATACTGTGTATCAGTGTTCATGTGGTAACATTAACATATACGTAAAGCATCATTTTTAACAATTATTAATTAACAATTTAAGCGCAAATGATTAATCATCCTTACATAGATCAATATTTAAAAGAGTGTCATAGTTTCTTTATAATTATGTAGTAAAGCATTTCTAAAAACACTAGGCCAAATATAAACATGGCAGCATCTTGGAGCAGTGGTTAGCGCTGTTGCATCACAGCAAGAAGGTTCCAGGTTCAAGCCCCAGCTGACCTGGGGCCTTTCTGTGCAGAGTTTACCTGTTCTGCCTGTGTGGGTTTGCTCTGGGTACTCCAGCCTCCTCCCACAGTCCAAAGACCTGATGCTTAGGCTGGCCTGTTATTCTTTATTGCCTGTAGGAGTGTGTGTAGTTGTTTGTTTATAAGTCAGCCCTGTGATAGGCTGGCGTCCAGGGTGCTGAATGATTTGAAGCGTTCGCTAACAAAGGCCCTGGAAAGGAAGTCAGCATGGGTCCAGACATCTGAGCTATAGATACACAGCATCTAGCATCCACTGTAGCAAAACAATGACTACATCAGTGTAAACACATCTGGTAAGACTAATATAAGCACTCAAACATTCTCTGGAGCTCCTTACACTAAAACTACAGAGTCTCTCTAAAGTCAGTGTTTGTCAAGTACTGGTAAACGTCACATCTTAATGTTAGACTGGTTATATGTGACACATCCACATACTAATATGTCACATACAGTATATAACCAGAAGATGCCATTACATTACAACCATAGCAGTGGCACTGAATACTGAACATTCATTGCTAATGAGGAAACACAACATACAAACGTGTTCAGGAGTCATGACTTGGCTGTGTGTCCATTAAAATTACTCACCATCTTGCCAAAGATTTGCTGAAAGTTCTAACTTTCTTACTTCAGAGGCACTACAAGTCGCCCACTGCCACTGAACATATGCTAAAAAGTTAGCATGGGGCACCATCCATGTGTACACAATCTGTTGAGGATACATGCGCTGTTATGGTGCTTTTCATCAATAATATATTATTTGTTGTATAAGGAAGACGTGCAGTTATGGATCTACTGTATAATTTGGACTGCTTGACCAGAAACTATAATACTGTAAGTACAGCGCCAGCATAGGCCGAGAAGTAGTTAATTATAGGGAGTGCATGACGTTACAGTACATATTAACCTTAAGTCCCAATCAATATAATGTGCAGTTGTGCAGGTTTGGTGTGTTTCAAGATCTATCTCCATAGAGCTCTTGTACATTTACTTGTCAAGAGGCGTCACCACTGACCTTTTACTGCAGAGACTTCACAGAAAATAATTAACTGCGGACTTATCATGAAATCATGACGACAATAACGGTGATTAAACCTGTAGTGGCATTCAGCACTTAACTGAAATAAAGCTGTCCCACGAAGTTTGGCTGTCAGCAAAAAAAAAATCAAATATATCATTTTGAAGGTCCCTTGTTGTGTGTTATTTTTCAACCAGACATGCTTTGCACAACACAGATTTGTCTACGTAGGTGACGCTGTGCCACAAAAGCATTTTCTAAGTCCCTCAGTGATTTTGATTAGAGGCAAGATACACAAAAGATCTGCTTTTTATACTGGTGCAGGTCCCACAAGGATAAAGTGGCCTTTCTCAGCCCAGTTCAATCTGTTCCTAATGGGATGTGTTGTATTCAGTGAAGGAAGCATTAACAATACATGCAGTGAAGCTGAGGCATGGGAACAGTATCGCATTTCTCACACAGGAGAGCGGATGTAAACACTCTTTTCTCTCATCCTTTGGTATATACACAATAGAAAGTGACATGGCTTGGCAATCATTTCAAAATGGGTCAGATTAGAACATATTTGGCTATCATTCAATCATAAAACAGCCTATTAAAGTTATTTCACTTATGTTGGCACTATTTCATAAATCAACTCTGTTAACTTTTTTTTACTCGTGTCCCCAATGAATTTCTGAAAAAACTAAAGGCCCTGACATGCAGGCAGCCATACACATATACAGACAAACATACATACAGCTTTTCTCCACATCACCCCAGGCAAATTGTGCTGCATCCAGTTCAGCGGGGAACCAATAGCCCATGCATTCTTAGTCATAAAATTTTAAATAAACCTATTATATGCAGGCAAGTGAACAAACAAACAACAAAATTGCCTCATTCTACATATTACCCACAACACTACAAAGCTGAAAAGTGTACACAAATACATACAAATGCACATAGACACACTGTCATGCATAAACACTCAGTTATTATTTCACACTTACAAATGTGTTTCTATGCTGCTCATATTCTTGGCATAAATGTTAATGTGTCTGTTGCTGTTTTCATAAAACTACTGAGCTGTCGTCTAGAAGCCCAAAGTGTTCTTCGGTTTTTGGGGTGATGTGTCAATATCTTTTTTTTCCTTACCTCCTTGGTCCCAAACTTTATCTGTCAGTATGTCAGTGGCTTCTTACTCCAGCACCTCTGTCACTTCCTCTCTTGATGCTGTTTAACTGTCTGCATTCTTTTAAAAAATGTTATTTTTTTAGGTACTATGACCCTGGAGTGACTCTGAATTCATACAAACACACTGTCAAGTTATACTGGATGAAATTTGGAAATAATAAAGAACAGCAAAAAGGTGACAGTGATAATACCCCGATGTTGGGAAATTAAGTGGCAATGTGGCTCTGGGAGATAAAAGGAAAAAAGAATTGGCTAGTGAAAATGGGCGACAACAAAAGCTCTATTGTTAAAAGAAATTAATTATCCCTTTTACACGTTTTTTTTAACAAATCTGGACACTTTGTGTGCTTTTAAACGCACAACATTAATAGCAACCATAATCTCAAGGAAGTCGTGGTTTTACACTTTAAAAGGTGGTCCATTTTGTGTGAGCCATTGCAAACCATATGCAAATTAACACTTAGTAATCACAGGTTTAGCTCTCATGTGTGCTATTTTGTGTAAGGAGCTTAATGGTATTCAGAAGAAACAGATGTTGGCAATAAAAAGAAACAGAGAGAAAGCCAGTGGTCGTGTGATGTTTAGCAGCACAGGTGGGCCCATAATCTGAATATGCATTGGTAGAAGAAGAAACAAAACAGGTGTCAATCAGTGACTCACTGACAATGACATGCTCTTTCCCCTCGTGCCCAGCCTCCCACTGAGGAAATCATAAACTATTTTACGCAGAATAAATGATCTAACAAGCCTCCAACTCAAAGGAAGCCAACACTGCCTGTGCTGGCCTTCGGCAGTAAGGTTCAATCTAATTGTCATGAGTGGTGACGTTGCACAAAATCATCTTTCATCTTTGCTTCTGTATTTAATTGAGGATCACCTCCGGGCCAGTTCTGCATCTGGGTACAGACGCAGATCCAGTCAGAGCACGGATGCAGCTCAGCATTTGGGATGTTAGACCAAACTAGAAGAAAGGAGCTTGGCAAAGGCTTTGTCTGATTAAGTCAGCAGTCAGAGCAGAGCGCTGAAGAGAGAGAGCTGAGACACAATGACACCAGCTTGGCTGCTATAGATGGAGATGATCATCACGGGACTAATCAAGCTCACAATAAACAAAAGCAAGCAGCCAAATGAATGGGAGTTTACTCTTTCTAAGGCGAATGACATTAATATGCTTCTCTCTAATGGTCACGACCATTAATGAAAGGAGGCCGGTGGGTGTCTCATCCCATTGATTTCCACTGAAAATCACTTGTATTCACCAGAGACTGGTGCACTGTTCTACAAACTCATTACAAACTGTTCCCATCGCCTACGACACAACCACTTACATTTAAATGACTGAAAGTAAGATAATTGGTGTCTGTGGCTAACTAGTTTGTTTTGTATTAATAAACTCAGAGCGTGTATAGAGATGTGTTAATTGGCTCGAGTTGGTGGTAGGCACTATACAAAGCGTGCCCACACCCGGGGGAGAAGGTGGTGGTGACGGGGAGTGTGTGTCAGTCAGTCCTGCTCCCTGGGGAGAATAGGAAAAAGAGGCGATTTATTCAAAGGCTTATCTCACATTGCTTCTCTGGCTCCTCTCCTTCTGTCTCATCCCTACATGTCAGACGGCAGACCACCACAGAGAGAATAACAGTCACCCTCCGTGCCCTGTCCTTCACTCTATTTTGGCTTTATCATGTCACTCCTGTGCTCCTGTTGTCTCTAGATAGCATCTCTTCTTTTTTCCTTCACCATTACAGAAGATTGCTAGTGAGAAACCTCCAAACTTCTGCTTCCCTACAGGAGCTGTGGTGACAATGATTTGTCCCTGATGAGAAAGTAAAGAGCCTTTCTGACTATCAATCAACTGCCTCAGGGATCAGTCAGAAGAAATACAGCCAGAAACTTTGCGCAAACCCCCAAACATATACTGGACTGCATGTGAGCACACATTTCCAAAAACCTAAAATATCTATTATTTTTCTTTAAGCTGTTAGTGCGTGTTCATCAGTGACAGCGAGAAGATGAGAACATGAAATCTTAAAAAAAAAAAAAACTGATTATACTCTTCACTGACATTTTCTGAACAAACCTCAGCACACCATGCACACACATAGTGACACATGATTGCAAACACACACACACACACACACACACACTGCTAACACCACATGAGGGCTGCAGGGTGGTGTTGCCATAGAAACGGGGGAAAGGTAGTGACCATGTTCTTGAGCTGAGCGGGGGGGTGAGGGGCAAAAGACTTGTGTCTGTGTGTGTTTGTTGGAGGTGGGGGGGCTGAAAGTGAGTCAGATAGTATGGACTAATGATAAGAGTTTAAACTCAAATCTACCATCTCACTCCCACCATTACAGTCACCAACACCAGCCTACTAATTGGAAACCATTTGAAGAAAGGCAGTAAGTTGTTGGCAGCAGTGTTACCATGCTATTTGCTTTTAATGCCTCCAGCAGAACATCCAGCTAATGTGGTTAATGCTGTTAGCTTTGATGCAGAGAGAACTGCTGGATGTCTTGGTGCATGGGCCTCCCTCACCACCCTGGGGGTTTGAATTAGTGATCCCTAATGCAATGAGCTAACCCTTTAATGTGCAATGATGACCATTTCTCTTTTTCTTTCTCTGAGTGTGTGTGCATTAATTAAATATTAATGAGAATTGCAAATAATTGAAGTATACCTCAGCAGCTTTATCCTAATAGTGTTGCTATTTGTTAGAAAGCTCAAGGATCAGCTTCATGAAATGTTCAAATACTGTGTGGAAGTATCACAACCTCCTGTGACCTCACTGTGCTTCATGATCGTGCTGGGCAATATGGATAAAATCCGTAAGATTATTCAATATTTTTCTTGACATTTAACTTTTCTATTGGGTGATTTTGCACACAATAGATGTGTACAAACGAGCCGTTTCACTGCTAATACTAAACATTTAGAATATTTTCTCTTTTCTCTTCACCATACATAAAAAATACACACTGTTTTTCCAAAGGCGTTGATGTGAGCTGCGTGGGCTGCACTGGAAAACAGGATGAGCAATATCTTTAGACCACCAATTAAAGAGAGTTCATTAGTTTTCTCATCTCTCACAGAGTTGGTCATTACCTGCTGTTGCAGTTGTTCCTATCTACCCCTTCTTCTTTCTCCTCTTCGTCCTCTTTCAATGCTTGATGCTTTCTTTTGTATCACTTTGCCCACACGATGACAGGGTTTTTTTAAAAATAGAGACGATCCACCCAGATTACAGCGTTTTAATTACAGAGCTAGAGATGCTACGGGGGTGTAGAAGCCCCTTCCACTGACAGGGAGGGGAGAGGGTTGAGGAGGGAAGGAGAGTTGGAAGACAGAGTGGTACAGTGAATGTAAACTGTGTGCTAATTAGTGTCGTCTGCCGTAGCGAAGCTCTCTGGCTGTAACCGTCTATTATACATGCAGTATTGGTGGGGTTGCATTCTGAACATTTCATAGATGAACATATTGGGCCATTTCATTTTAAATATGAATCACCTATAGGGAGACTGGGAGCAATTTAAGCAAGGACACTGTATCACTCAGTTCCTACAATCAGGGAAAAACTAGAGTGATGACACATTGTCTGTAAGGCAAAAACCTAATTTAAGGCTACAGTATGTGCACTAGTATGAAATGCCAGATAAAACCACCCTGCTCCGCCCAGCGCTCCCTCTCCCTGCTCCACTATACTCTACTATAATCTGCTATAAGCTCCACCACACTCTGCCCAGCTCTTCAGATATTTGTTGTTATAAAATTACAAGAAATGAGAACAAAACTTACTGATCAAGCAGACATAATTGAACATCTCTGACTGGTTAGAGAGGTCACTCCCACTCAAAACCTGTTACAAGTTAACATCTCTGCACTGCAGTGCTGCTCAATGAGACTGGGTCACGGGAGGCTTTGACAGTACCTCTCCACATTAAGACAAGTTTTGGAGCAGATTTCTACAACAGAAATATTTGAAACTGTTACATAATGTAGCCCAAATCTGCTTGAATCGCTAAGCAAATATAAATGTTGTTGCGCTACCAGCAAGGTACTGCAACATGTAGTAGTTTAATTACATGTAGTAACTCTCCAGCACTGACCACCTGTTGTAATGTTGTAGCCAGTTGGCAGCATATAAATCTTTTATCATGTAACTGAGTCACATGCTAAACAAGACACTGCCTCTGTTTTTAAATAGAAAGGTAGAATAACCTGTTTCTGCTTTCTTTGTTTCTTTGATAGTTTATTCGTGAACATAGCACAGTATATGTACGTCATATATTGGCATCAGTAATTAAACTGAACCATTTAGCCATGTACTGTATGTCCTAGAAAAATGCTTTTTAAAGAAACTGTTCTCCACATGACATTAAGCGTTCTTATTGTGTTAACATCTTATTAGTACAACATTACTTTTAAATTGTGATTGAATAGTTACTGACTCATACATTTAAGTAAATTAAGTTAAGACTATAAATATCTAGAACGCTGAATAAAAAGTTTTTTACTTTGACATTTAAGAGATGTTTATTAGATGACTATTATAATAAGTAATTACATTCCAGGTAACAGTAAATTATATAAACATCTAAAGGGGAAGGATACTTTTAACAAGCACCATGTTAGTTTAATTCTCTGAGCTGCCAGCTGCTCTGCTTTTTGCTTCCAATTACACAAACAGCCTTTACTGTATACTGCAGGTAACTGTAGTGATCATACACTGAAGGAGTGTGTGTGATTTTGTGTGTGTGTGGGTGAGCGTGTGTGCATATGCATGTACAGACTGTTGCTTGTGTTTCGGCACCTTGGCAACCTGCTACCGTGCGCCTCTGCGCTTGAGCAAACAGGTTAAAATGACATACTGAGTATCTTGTAAATAATACCAGCTGAAGCTCTCACATATGGCATGGACAGAAGATATTTATCCACACTTTGAGCTGTACGATCCGCATGCTTTTCAGATATTCCCTGTAAGTGTGCATTATGTTAATTCAGTCTCTTCTGTGGTTATGTGGCTGTCAGCTAAAGTGCTTCATCTTAGCAACAACTGCTCCTGTTAATTTGTTGTTATTGATCCTGGGTCTTATATTATGACAAAATAATTTGTAGTACTGTATTAGGAGGAGTGATTTTTATAATATGGTCTGCATACGGGAAACTGATTCTTTGATTTTCCTCCCCTCTCCACTGAGTGGAGCATCACCTCCTACTGCATTTTATTCTCAGCCACTGTGCCTCCAGGCACAGAGGCTCATTACAGTCCCGTCTCTCCTCCCCAGGCTCCTCTACAGCCCACCACCATCCTGCAGCAGCTCCCAGCCAACATGATGCCTCCTGGCTTGGCTCCCTCCATTAGGCCCGGTGGCCACGTCAAGGAGGGTATGGCAGACTGTCACCACACACAAACTAAATCTCAGGATTTCACACTCGGAGTTGTTCTTGCCTGTCTGTCACATTACCAGCTTGCTAGCAAGTGTGTAGATTTATTTTTTATCGTCTACTCTTGAGCTTGGACAGTTGCATGAGTTTGTGTATCAGAGTGTGTATTAAATTCATGCACAGTGCTGCAGCAGGTTTTAGTCAAACCGTTTGCAGCTTCTGAAAGTATCAGTCAGTTGCTGAAAATAAAATTTTGTAAGTCAGTGACATTTAGACTCAAAACGTTAAAACTGTCTTGCAGCAGTGTCTATATGCATCCAGCGACTATACTGTAAATACAGTCTGTTCCAAAAATGGCAAAACAATTGTTACATTGCATTTGGATTTTTTTTAGCAGCTATAATGGCCTCCTTAGCCCAGCTAGTGTCACTGTGAGCTAGTTAAGTTTATAAAACAGTCCTGTGCTCTAGCTTAAAGAACTCTTAATGGCAAATGTGGTTTCTGTAAACTGCATGGAGCAATTTGCAGTTTGCTTGAAAATTTGCTGCAACTTGGCCACAACACACACAAAAAAGATACATTCTGATGATCTGGTAGCAAATATAAACTCACTGGTCACTTTATTAGGTACATCTGTACAATTGTGTGCAATTCAATGCAACACTTTCACCTTGACGTCTGTGTTTATGAAGCTCAAAATGTTTCAGTTTTTGTCATAAATGTACAAATTCAATTCTCTGTTGATTATTGAGGTCGTAGTAAAAGGTGGTGTTGTACTGGACTACATTATATTCAGAGGTGTTCCTAATATTCTGACCCTCTCATGTATGTAGCTGTGGAGGACAAAAATATAGAGATGAAAAGGTGGATGGTAAAAAAAAAAATCTTAATAGGTTCATCCCACTGTTCACATTGCCGCTGCTGCTGTGGTTTTATATACATTATATTATTTATTGAATTGCATTACACAGCATCACATTTTTGTAAAGTGTAATCGTGTCTATTTAAGCATTATTTGACTACCAGTGTTACCAGCACATCAGCTGCCACGCTGGCAAGTGTGTCCCTTTATTTTTCTCATTTGCTTTCATTTGTTTAGTTAAAATTATTATTAACATGGAGCCATCACTCAAGAAATGTCCTTGATAAAGACTAAGGCCGACATAAGTCGCATGTTCTCTGTGCAAATAATCCTCAAACATTATTGGTGATGGAAAACATCAGGATGATACTGTAAATATTATGTAAACCTGTCACATAGTTTCAATGAGTTTTTAAAATACAGTGGATTTATACTCTAATAATTTGAACAGATTTCTGAAACTTATGTCAGAAAACAATATTTATATTACTGGGAAGAAGTTTAATAATTTAGCAAGGTGAGTCATTGCCCAACAAACATAGACTGACAAGGAGGTGAGCAAACTGATGGTGGCACTTTACATCCACTATCTCAGTTTGACACAATGTGGGTCCTCATCACCCAGAGGAAGACGACAGAATAAAACTGATAAGACCATCAGAGGCACCTCACATAATGCGGAATACGTTTGTAGGTATGGACACCGGCCTGCCATAACATTGACCACCTGCCTAGTGCTGTGTACACAGGAGTCAATGTGGCAGTTGGTTGACACTCGTGTCATTCTGCAGCTCACTGTGCATCTTCTGTGAGTCTGTTTGATTTCATAGTTCTACTGTCAGGAAGAGCGCAAATGTGTCGACCATTCAGTGAAAAACTTATGAAAAAGGAATGAAAACTGTCATGAGGACAAGTGGTTAGTCTTGTCTCCTCACAGCAAAAAGGTTCCCAGTCAGACTCAGTGCCTTTCTGTATGGAGTCTGCATGTTCTCCCTGTGCCTGCATGGGTTCTCTCCGGGTACTCCAGCTTCCTCCCACAGTTCAAAGACATGACGCTTAGGTTGACCTGTGATTCAAAGTTGCCCGTAGGAGTGTGTGTGGTTGTTTGTCTATACGTCAGCCTTGTGTACCCCACCTCTATTCAGGAATAATCGGTATAGATGATGGATGGATGGATAATGGATGGGTGGAATCCAACAGCCGCCCCACTCTAGGTATGATATCACCACCATCAATGTACAGTATTTCTCATTTTCACCCATTTTAACAAAGATTCAAACTAAACAGAATATTTTGAAAAGGATGAATTTAAAAGTTTTATCTATAGTAGGTCATTGTCATCATCAGTGAGCCTTGGGCGTCCATGACACTGTTGTCGGGTCACAGTTTGTCCTTCCTTAGTCTTTGGCTGGTTCTAACCACTGCAGACTGGGAACACCCAATAAAACCTGTAGTGTGGGAGATGCTCCAACCCAGTTATCAGCCATCACAGTTTGGCTCTTGTCAAAGTCGCTCACATCCTTACGCTCGCCCATATTTCCTGCCTCCAACACATCAACTTCGAGAACTGAATGTTCAGTTGCTGCCTCATACACCCCACACACTGACAGGTGCCGTTGTAATGAGATAATCAATGTTATTCAACTGTCAGTGGTCATAATGTTATGGCTGAATGGTGCATGTGTGTATTGCTGTCACTATGCAGAACTTGTAGAGCTGATGATGATCCAGAACACCCAGATGCATCAGGTCATCATGAACAACATGACTGTGTCAGCTCTGAGATTGTTCGAACACTCCAACCCGCCACTGGGCACTGAGGTGGGTACCGGACACGGGTCATGGTCAGTTCAGTTAATAAGTCAAACTTGAAATTTAAAATTGGAGTATTAATTAGAACAAAAAATTAACCGGACAGTAAATCTGATCATAGCTTGCAATAAAAAAATGAGTGTGTCACCCTGATTTTGATATAATAAAATATAGCAAGGCTTCATTTTAATTCTACTTAGCTTCCATGCACTCCAAATGTACAAACAGTTCCTGATTTTATTATGAAGAAAGTTTCATCACAGCTTACTGTTGATGGCTTCTATGTGTTTTGTCGATAACAGGGACTTTTTAGGGCTTCTTGGTTCTGCTGGGTGTTATAGTAAAATACATAGCTCACACTTGTTGAATGTAAAAATACAGGAATTATAACTTTTTAGAAATTACTAAACCAATTTACCCCTCTGGTCTATTTTCATTTCTGCTGACATTTCTTGACTCAATAAGCAGCCTTGTTTTATTTTAGGATATTATTCCTCAAAATTCTTTCTTTCATTTACCACAATGTTCCTGAAATAAAACCTGACCAGTGAAAAGTTTGTAATGATCGTGGTCTTGCCCTGGGAAACGGAGCTCGGCTGTTTTTCTCTTCCACTGTGTCAGGCTCCCAGAGATCTAGTTATAATTCAGGAGAATGAGGCTGGTTCAGAGATACACCATCATTATTACCAGCCTGCCCCATACCTGTCCTATCCTGCATGGCCCCTGCCTCAGGCCACAGCGGTCTACCAAGAGGACCCCAACAAACCCAGTTCTGCTCTGCGCCACAGAGACAGGTGATCAGACCACTCATGTGTCTGTTACATTTCATGTGACAACTCATTACTACTGTTGCAGGAAAAAAAAAAGTTTCACGGTGCACGTATCACTGAAACAGCATCTAAAAAATCATCCGATTTATTTAGGAGGTAGTTTGAATCAAATCATATCCTGCTGGCAAGCAAGGACACCAGAATTTTATTTGGACAGAAAAAGCTGAGATTTAAATGGGAGGGGACATGTTTTGCCACTTTGGGAGGCAGATTCATTCTTCCATTTAAATAATGCCTAGAATAGCTCAGATTTACTCATGCTTTGGTAACAGTAATAGGTGTTAATTACTGCAGGCTTGGCAGGCCAAACCGGCAGCAACAACATACATTCAGAAAGCATACATACACACAATAGAAATAAAATAAAGTGTTACCTACATAGAACCAAATGGATTGTCAGAACAGCTCACCTAAATAAATAAATAAGAAATTATACGACAATTTAGGACACTTAGTTAATCAGGGGAGCAGATGCTTCACATTTACCAGGTTGTCCTTGAAGAATCTGTTCTCACCCCTTTAACAACTGTCAACACTTTTAGAAAAGCAGGAGAAGTAGCACATATCCTCAAAATAACTGTAACGAAGGTCCGTTAACTCAGAGAAAAGCATGAGATGTAAATACAGAGAGAGACTTTCCATTCTCTCCCTCCTCGAGTTGTTTGTCTCCAGAAAACCAACTGTTGTTATAATTGAGCTTTGGACCTGTTAAGATTGCTTGTTCATACCATAAAGATGAAAACATCCAGGAGATATAACACTGATCAATGCCTTTCACGGTTGTGTGATCAGACCTGCTGTCCCGGCCCTTCCTCCTTCACCCAGCGCCTCTGAGTCAGTGAGAGCTGACATCGCTCCTGCAGCAGGTAAAAGCCAACACCCAGCCAACAGTCAGTTGAGAGCATAGGGTGCTGATTGATGAACCTGCTAGTGATTGTCCAATAACAGCGATGAGATTTAGAGCTGTGCAATGTTTTATCTGTTTTCTTTTTTCTATAGAGAACAACAGTGATGCTGAGGCAGAACAAAGAAGAAGAAAAACTGATTAATAATTCATTTAGCAAATGTCTTTAAATAGCACCATGGGGTAAAACTATCTTGACTTCATTGATCTTCTCTCAAAGCTTACGATTTCACACTTACATTACAATTAAATGCCTCATATACGCATTTACAGCATATTAAACAGGCAAATAAATACAATTTTGTGCTTTATTAATGGAGTTTTATTTCTTTACTTTGTTCAACCTGCATTTCCCAAATTATCCAATAGGGGGCAGCAACAGATGCTAAGTGGGATGGTAATTAGACCACAAGAAGGATGTCTTCCTTTATTGTCAAACATTCACAGTGACTGTGCATGTTATAGTGCTGACACAGGGCACTACATGTGGGCAGCATAGCAAGAGGGTAACACCACTATTTTTGTGCAACACCGAGTGACCTCATGCTTAAGTACAGCTTGATGAGTACATGGAGAGAACATGCCAAGAGGAGACATGCCACTCAGTCCTCACAGATGATGACAGTAAAAGCAACAAGCAACAAAATCTTGCATGAAAATAGAGCAGGATTAATGTTGTGGATATTTCTTGCTAAGAAGAACAGGTGAAGCATTTGAGTGTTTTTCTCACTGGTTCAATCTCAGGTGAAAGTGTTGAAATTATGCACAACCCATAAGGCTTCCTTTAACTTTTGAAGTGCTGTAACAAATAGGTCGAGTTTGTCAAAGGGGATAATACAGCGAGCAGCAAGCAGCTGAGACAGATGAGCCATAGGAAAGAATTTCAATGTCAATTTATTAGATTTGTCTGCAACAATTCCCACAATCCTTGGCATCCACTGAAAATAGTTCCATGGGTCAGAGGTTCATTTGGAGTTTGAAAACTGAATTGTACTATGACAGTGTGGAGCTGGGAGCACTGTATTTCAGCAGCAGCGTGGGAGGGTAATTTTAAAGATATCGGGAGTGAAGACAGCACACCCAAATCACTGATAAAATGCTAAGATTAAGAGCTCAAATGAGGAGAACGTGCTGAGACGGCCGTCTCTCTACTGTCTCCAGAATAATGCCAATGTTTATCCAGCTATTAATATCAAACCACCACATGCTGCCGATCACCAGGGAGACATGGTGAGAGCGACGACAGAGAGAGAGAGGCAGTGAGAAGGGGTTAAAGAGCCAAATATATTCAGGAGAGGAATTAAATTTCTGTTAAGAAGGGCAGTAAACAGCAAAAACGAACAATGATTTGATTTGATTTGATTTGATTTGATTCTTTCAAACATGCAGAACAAATCACATCAACACACACATAATTACACAAATCCAACCAATGCTAATCCAGAATCAGTTTGCTTATACCTAGTATATGCTTGAATGGAGTAGGAAGAAGTCAGACTTATTCAGTCCTACCCCATAACATCATCTTATACAAAAAAAATGTCATGCATCATTGGCTGCAAGCAGTATCTCTACATAGGTAATTCTCTTCTTCACCAAACAAGTAATACACAGAAAATTTAAAACAAAGTGTTTCCTTCATGCATTCTTGATTAAATCTCTTATTCTTGCATATATCTTGAATGACACATACCTTTATATTTATATTTAAACTCCTCAATTCTATTACTGTTTTTCATGTCTACACTTAAATTATTCCATAGTTTTACCCCACTTTTACCCCACCCCATAGAAATACAAAATCTTTTTTTGGTTGTACGTATAGCATGAACTTTTAGATTTAACTGACCCCTTAAATTATATCCCCCTTCCCTTTCATCAAATAACTTTTGGATTCCACCAGGTAATAAGTCGTTCCTGGCTTTATACATAAACAC